CTGAGGCCAGCATCATTCTGATACCAAATCCTGGCAGAGACACAACAAAAAAAGAATATTTCATCCCAATATCCCTGATGAACATAGATGCAAAAATCGTCAATAAAATACTGGCAAACCAAATCCAGCAGCACATCAAAATCTTGTCCACCATGATCAAGTCGGCTTCATCTCTGGGATGCAAGATGGTTCAACATACACAAATCAATGAACATAACACATCAAATAAACAGAACTAATGACAAAAACCACATGATTATCTCCATAGATGCTAAAAGTCCTTCAATAAAATTCAACAACCCTTCATGCTAAAAATGCTCAATAAACTAGGTATTGATGGAATATATCACAAAATAAGAGCTATTTCAGACAAATCCATAACCAATATCATACTGAATGGGCAAAAGCTGAAATCATTCCCATCAAAAACTGGCACATGACAAGGATGCCCTCTCTCACGACTCTTATTCAGCATAGTATTGGATGTTCTGGCCGAGGCAATCAGGCAAGAGAAAGTAATAAAGCGTATTTATGTAGGAAGAGAGAAAGTCAAATTGTCTCTCTGTGCAGACAATATGATTGTATATTTAGAAAACCCCGTTGTCCCAGCGTAATAAAACTCCTTAAGCTGATAAGCAAGTTCATCAAAGTCTCAGGATATAAAATCAATGTGCAAAAATCACAAGCATTCCTAGACACCAATAATAGACAAGAAGAGAGCCAAATCATGAGTTAATTCCCATTTACAATTGCTACAAAGAGAATAAAATACCTAGGAATACAACTTACAAGAGACATAAAGGACTTCTTCAAGGAGAACTACAAACCACTGCTTAAGGAAATAAGAGAGGATACAAACAAATGGAAAACAATGCCATGCTTATGGATAGAAAGAATTAATATCATGAAAATGGCCATTCTTCCTGAAGTAATTTATAGATTCAATGCTATTCCCATTAAGCTACCATTGATTTTCTTTGTAGAATTAGAAAAAACTACTTTAAATTTCATATGGGACCAAAAAAGAGCTGGTATAGCCAAGGCTCTACCTGACTACAAACTATACTACAAGGCTACAGTAATCAAAACAGCATGGTACTGGTTTCTATGTATCTGTATCAAAACAGATACATAGACCAATGGAATAGAACAGAGGTCTCAGAAATAACACCACACATCTACAACCATCTGATCTTTGACAAACCTGACAAAAACAAGCAATGGGGAATGGATTCCCTATTTAATAAATGGTGCTGGGAAAACTGGCTAGGCATATGCAGAAAACAGAAACTGGACCCCTTCCTTACATCTTACATAAAAATTAACTCAAGATGGATTAAAGACTTAAACATAAAACCACAAAAACCGTAGAAGAAAATTTAGGCAATACCACTCAGGACATAGTCATGGGCAAACACTTCATGACTAAATCACCAAAAAAAATTGCAACAAAAGCCAAAATTGACACATGGGGTCTAAACTAAAGAGCTCTGCACAGCAAAGGAAATTATCATCAGAGTGAACAGGCAACCTACAGAATGGGAGAAAATTTTTGCAGTCTATCCATCTGACAAAGGTCTAATATCCAGAATCTACAAGAAACTTAAACAAATTTACAAGAAAAAAAAAAAACCCCATCAAAAAATGAGTGAAGGATATTAACAGACATTTCTCAAAAGAAGACATTTATGTGGCTAACAAACATATGAAAGAAAGCTTATGATCACTGGTCATTAGAGAAATGCAAATAAAAATCACAATGAGATACCATCTCACACCAGTTAGAATGGTGATTCTTAAAAAGTCAGGAAACAACAAATGTTGGTGAGGCTGTGTAGAAACAAGAATGCCTTTACACTGTTGGTGGGAGTATAAATTAGTTCAACCATTGTGGAAGACAATGTGGTGATTCCTCAAGAATCTAGAACCAGAAATACCATTTGTCCCAGCAATCCCATTACTGAATATACGCCCAAAAGCATATAAATAATTCTAATATAAGGACGCATGCACACTTATGTTTATTGCAGCACTATTTACAATACAAAGACTTGGAACCAACCCAAATGCCCATTAATGGTACACTGGATAAAGAAAATGTGGCATGGCCAGGCGCGGTGGCTCATGCCTGTAATCCCAGCACTTTGGGAGGCCAAGGCAGGTGGATCCCGAGGTCAAGAGATCGAGACCATCCTGGTCAAAATGGTGAAACCCCGTCTCTACTAAAACTTCAAAAAAAAATTAGCTAGGCATGGTGGCGCATGCCTGTAATCCCAGCTACTCAGGAGGCTGAGGCAGGAGAATTGCCTGAACCCAGGAGGCGGAGGTTGCAGTGAGCCGAGATCCCACCATTGCACTCCAGCCTGGGTAACGAGCGAAACTCCGTCAAAAAGAAAAAGAAAAAGAAAATGTGGTACATATCCACCATGGAATACTATACAGCCATAAAAAAGAATGAGTTCATGTCCTTTGCAGGAACATGGATGAAGCTGGAAATCGTCATTCTCAGCTAACTAGCACAGGAAAAGAAAACCAAGCCCTGCATGTTCTTACTTATAAGTGGGAATAGAACACATGGACACAGGGAGGGAAACAACATATACCAGAGCCTGTCAGGAGGTGGGGGGCAAGGGGAGGCAGAGCATTAGGACAAACACCTAATGCATGCCGGGCTTAAAACCTAGATGATGGGTTGATAGGTACAGCAAACCACCATGGCACATGTATTCCTATGTAACCTGCACGTTCTGCGCATGTATCTCGAGCTTAAAGTAAAATTTTTAAAAATTAGCATACAAAAGTCAATCAATGTAATATGCTACATTTTGTAGAATAGATGACAAAAACCATATGATCATCACAACAGACACAGAAAAACCATTAGACAAAATCCAACACCTTTGTTTTGAAAAAAAGAACACTAAGCAAGTTAGAAATAAAATGGAATTTTCTCAACCTGATAAAATTCATCTGTTAAAGTCCCACAGCTATCATTTTACATAATGATAAAAGACTGGATGCCCCCTCTTAAGATCAAGTACGATCCAAAGATGTCTATTTTATCACTTATAGTCAACATTGTATTGGAGTTCTAGCCAAGGAATTTAGGTAAGAAAAAGAAACTAAACTCATCCAGATTAGAAAGGAAGAAGTAAACCTATCCCTTCATAGATGACATGATACTGTGCATAGAAAATTCTAAGAAATCCAAAAAAAGGAAACTATTAGAACTAATAAACATTTTCAGAACTAATAAACATTTTCAGCAAGGTTTCAGGTTACAAGATCGATATGCAAAAATCAATTGCATTTCTATATACTAGCAATAAAAAATATAAAATTGAAAATTTTTAAATTCCATTCTATATTTTAACAAAATTCCATATTCCATAATAGCAGCAAAGCAATAATATTCTTAGGAGTAAAAACAACAAAGAATTACAGGACAGGAACACTGAAAACTACAGAACACTGTTAAAAATTAAAGAAGAACTTAACAAATGGAAAACAGTCTACATTCATGAATCAGACTTAATATTAAGATGGCAGTATTCTCCAAACTGATTTACAGCTTCAATGCAATCCCTCTAAAAATCCCAGTTCCCTCTTTTGCAGAAGTTAAGTTTATCCTAAAATTCATATGGAAATGCAAGGAACACAGAAAAGCCAAAAATCATGAAAAAGAAAGCCGAAGTTGAAAGACACATACTTCCTGATTTCAAAACTTACTACAATGCGACAATAATCAAGACAATTGGTACTAGCATAATGACGTATTCCCAGGACCAGTTCTAACTGGCCTTACTCCATTGATAATAGGATGTCAAGTTATTCTGCAGGCACACAGCCAAAAAGTTGTAAGTCACACAGCCAAAGCAAATGCAGAAAAAAAGACGTCAACTTTGAATAATACCCAGAAGTAAAATTTTATTCCTGCCCCACCACAGAAGCAAAGGGTCAAGACATGGCTGGAACCTGAGGGCCCAAACATTTTCAAAAGCAAAAAACCTGAGCCCAGGCATATCCACTGTTAAGACCCCTTACCATATCTTACCATAAATGGTCTTGTTTAAAGTTCTTCCAGTCAAAACCTGCCCTACCAGTGCTTCTGCATACCAGCTTGACCTCCCTAACCCATAAAACTGGACCCACATCCCAGATGGGGAGACAGATTTGAGCTTTGCCTCCTGTTTTCTTGCAAGTCAACCGCACAATAAAGTTTTTGCTTTTCTCAAAAACCAGTTCCATAATATTGGTTTCTCTATCTGTCAGGCAGCAAGCACATTGCTCAGTAACAATGATAGAAATATTGATCAATAGAATAAAGAGTCTAGAAATAAAGTCCTATAGTTATCATCAATTAATTTTAGACAAGAGTGCCAAGGTCATTCAATGGAGAAAGAAAAACACTTTTCAACAAATGGTGCAGGGACAGCAAGATATCTACATCCGAAAGAATAATTTAGGACCCATATTTGACATCATATACAAAAATGGACTCAAAATGAATGAAAGACCTAAATTAGAAAATTCTTAAAGGCAAACATAGAATAAAAAATTGTCATAATCTTAGATTAGGCAATTTCTTAAATAGGACACCAAAGCACAGCAACAAAAGAAAAAAGAAATAAATTACACTTTATCAAAATTAAAACCCTATGTCCTTCAAAGGACACCATCAAGAAAGTGAAAATAAAATTCACAGAATGGATTAAAATATTTGCAAATATTATATCTGTTTCAGGACTTGTATCCAGAATAATAAAGAGCTCTTATAATTAAATAATAAAAGAATAAAGTAACAAATTGGCCAAGTATTTTAATACACATTTTTTCATAAGAGATATAAAAATAGCTGATAAACACATATAAAAATGTTCAACATCCAATGAGAGCCCATGGACACAGGGAGGGGAGCACTACACACTGGGGTCAGTTGGGGGGAAATAGGGGAGGGACGGTAGGGGGTGGGGAGTTGGGGAGAGATAGCAAGGGGAGAGATGCCAGATGTAGGTGATGAGGAGGAAGGCAGCAAATTACACTGCCACGTGTGTACCTATGCAACAATTTTGCGTGTTCTTCACATGTACCCCAAAACCTAAAATGCAATAAAATAAATGAGAAAAAAAATAAAATAAAAGAAGAAATGAAAAACAAGTGAAAAAGATTGTTGCTGTATTTCTGTATGGTTAATGTATAGAAAACAGCCTGACTGTCCAACAATGGAATAATGATCGAGTATAATATGGCATAGACACATTATGGAATATTATGTAACCATTTCACATTTTCATTTTGAAGACTGTTGTAACCTAAAAAAGATCTAAGGCATGTAACTTTGAAACCAGAAAGCAAACTCCTTTCTATTTTAGGATTACAAAGCTGTACAGTTTTTTCTGTATATAAACTAAGACAAATAAAATAACAGTAACATTAAAAAAAATGTTCAACATCATTAGTCACTAGGGAAATGAAAATCAAAACCAAGAGATACCACTTACTACTCAGTAGGATTGGGTTAGGGTTTGAATTATGTCCCATCTGAAATTCAAATGATGACGTCCTCACCCCAGTACATTAAAATGTGACCTTTTAAAAACAGAACAATTGTAGGTGTAATTAATTAATGCCAGCGTGGCATCCAACAATCATCTTTTAATAAGCCCTCCAGGCAATTCTGTGGCAAGTTTAGGTTTGAGAATCATTGGGTCATACACAAAAATGTGAAGAGTTCAGCAGTGGTTTCTTTCCAATATCTGAGCAGCATATTTCCACTTCATCCACACTTGCCTTTGAAAGCCATGCCAGGAAACCATTATCAATCTTGTTTTCTCCATACATTATATTTAAGGAAAGAAAGCTTATTACATTATGTACTTCAATGTCAATCAAAATTTATGGGGCACCATTGTGGGCATTTTAGAGAAAAGAGATTTGGCAGCTATTTCGCTTTAAGGGATCTTGTTTTAATTCCATTAATTCATGCAGTGGCCTTCTCAGGTACTTCTCCAACTCCCTCATAAAACTCTTCTACGTCTCTCCTTCGCAGCACCTTTGCAAACAAAGATGGAAGAATAAGAGAATTTAACACTACAAAATATCTAGCAGGAAAGAGAAATTAATGTGCAGAGCACCTACATGTACCAGATGCTTTCATAAGTGTGTTCATATATAATTACCAAAACGTTTATTGAATCCCACAGAGAATTAAAAGACCTCCAGAATTATTTTTATGCTTCTTAGGTATACATACCATACTTCAAGAAACATTACCTCAGCATTCAACAAAGTCCAGGTTTCAAATTTAACAGAATTCCTTGTTTACATAGAGCAGAACTATGGAGCATTAGAGTTGAAACAGACTTTGGAAGAGTTTGTAACTTAACTCTCTGCCCTTTCTACATCTTATGAATCTGAGCTTTCAGTGTGCCCTACAAATAAGAGAAAATGAGGAGAGGCAATGAGAAATTGGGGGCAGGTTTTATGAAGCTATTTGTTTTGTCCTTAAAACCAAACACCTCACCTTGGTTGTGCAAGTCGATTTTTTTGTTGGTTTAATTATATATGATGAAATAAAAAGAAATTGGGACTGTGGTAGACAAGGATGGGGGCAGATCTTTCTGGCTAAAGAGGCAGCAGAGAAGGACTGAGTCATTTCTGAAAGTTCAGTAATATTTTTCTTCAAAGATTCTTCTGTTCCAAAATTGGAAGCCTTAGTCATGGGAGTTCTAGAGGTGCTGCAGTTGGGACAGGGACATAGTGTGGCAATTGATAGCTCAGCAGCTGTTCCTGAGAGTTCACTCTGTGCCTGTGATTTGCTCCTTCCTAAGCCAGAAGTGCTGTTGGAAGTCCTCCTATTAAGACGTTCTCAGTTCTGGCCATACTTCAAGGTCACCCAAAGAGCTTCGGAAAAGATGCAGTGCTGGCTTTCAGACCCACAAAATCAGACTGGGGAAAGTGGAAGACGCCAGAACCCAGAATATCTAAAAAAGTCTCACAAATGATTCTAATGGTCAACTAGGGTTGATGACAAGTAACCTAACAAAACCCTTTCATTTCACAAATGAGGAAATGAAAGTTTAAAAAGGAAATGTGACTAGCTCAAGGTCACACAGCAGTTAAATGTTAGACCACCAGTTATTCAACTGAGCTTTCCTCAGCACTTAAATTCAGGCAGAACCAGAACCCACAGTGTCCCCTGATTCCTTCTACCACCTCCCTCCACTGCTACTGCCTTACTTTACTTTCATTTCTTATAGCCAGTTAGCCAACAATCAGCAATGACTAATCACTGTAATAATTATAACAACCACAACAGTTAGCATTTAGCAAACGCTTTCTTCACGCAGGCATCTGGCTAAGTGTTTTACAGGCATCACATTGGATCACACAAACCTATTGTTATTATCCCCATTTTACCTATAAACTCAGAAGACCAAATAACTCGCCCAAAACTCCACAACTAGAATATCCCAGCTAGAATTTGCATCTTAACTGTCCAAGTCTGGACCCCATATCCTTAGCCACTTCATCAGACAGTCTCCCAAGCGGCCATCCCAAACATTGCTTCTAAGAACAGAGGGCTGTTCTGCAGTATTTATAGAGAAAGAAAATCTTGTCTTAAATTGCTCTTTTTCAGAGCCACCTGACTAGCCACCGTGATGGAACCAAACAGTTACCGGAGGGCCCAGATAAGGCTAATGCAAGCAAGCAAACAAATCTGAAAGTAATTCATAACATTGTTTTGAATTGTTCAACTATAATTCCTTTACCCTAAGACTTTAAAACCAGGACATCCTCAATGATTGTCTATCCAAAAGAAAACTTGGAGAAACTACCCCACACTGTTCAATCCATGTTTTAGGAATAGCTATCCATGGACAGTAGGAGTATAAAGTTGTTTTGCGACCTTCTATTCTCCTCCTTATATTCTCAATTTTTTCTGTGATAAGCGTATATGACAATGGGGGTCCTAATAAAACTTTGATTTTCTTGTTAAATTGCCTGAGCAACTATACCAAAAGTTGGAGAATCTTGGAAGGTCTTAGGAAATGGGAACATATCAGGTCCCATTTCCTAAGAATCAAAGGCACTGTGACAATCAGGCTGTCATCATCAGTGTTTATGCTTGGCTGAAGCTCCGTGATCAGCTTCTGAACAAGACAACTAACCTACTGATGAAAATTTTCCTGGAAGGCTGGAGAAGCCTTGATCTGATAGCAGTTTTCTGCTCGCCTCTTCAAACGGTGACCTGGAGGCTCAACACAGCATAGGCTGGACACGAATGCCAAGAATCAAGGTCAATGGCATGACCTCCCCTTTCCTACCATTCCGCTCCTGCCAGCAGATCCCAGACCTCTCATTCACCCTATCCCCCTGTGCGTCATTCCCTCGAGTTCACCTCCCACCACTTCCTTCTACCTTCTCTGACCTACCCAAGGTAGATTGACTCCAGGTGCTCAGAGGGAGGCAGCACTAGCAGGAGAAAGGGAAAGTCATGATCACCACAGAGCTTTCACCACCTGCCAGTGTGCCAAGTACCTTACATTTAAATCTCACACTAGTCCATGGGCAAGGTAGTAGCACCATCCCTGTTTTAGACATAAAGAGACTAAGCCAGAGAAGCTTATTACTTTGTCCAAGTGGCAGAGCTGCCTTACCTGCCAAACTCTGTTCTTTTTGCTTAACAATGCTGCCTCCCACAGGAAATTTACAGCCATGGCCCTACCTGCAGAATAGGATTGGCTTTAACAGAAATGAGGATCTGAGAGCCCGAGAAGAGTTCTTGTTTCCCCAGGTGGTACAAAAGTTTCAAGACCAGACTAGGGCACAGGTATTCCCAAGTGCTGGGGTAAAATGAGTCAGGTAAGAGGGCACATGGCAGGAAGAGGTGAAAACATAGCTATATTTGGTGGTTAAATCCAGTTTGTCGGTTGTCAGCCTACTTCAGGTGTCATACCTCTGTGCTGGCACCTCTCTCTAAACCTATATCATACTCACAAAGAGCAACTATGTTTCAAAGTCCCTGTCAATTAAGCAACATCACCTTCATGAAAATTTACATACCCTAAATCCTCTTGCCTAAAAGCACTTAGATCTTGAGGGGTAATTACACTCATTGTTTGAAGTTTACAGCTGTCAAGTCCCATAGGGCGGGCTGTGTGGGCTCACAGAAAACAAGCAGGTTAACTCAGCTATTAAGTCTCAAATTTGAGGCTACCAGACCTGTGTTTAAGGTAAAGACTGCCACCTTGTGGGAGAAGTGAGTGATTGGTGGGAGTCACTGAGGAAATTAGGATTATCTTAGTAGAATCTTAAAATCAGATACTCTTCAGACTGAAGGAAAGCTTAGAAATCATTAATTCATCAACCCAGAAAATATTTATTGAGCACATACTAGGTGCTAGAAACACTTATGAGCACATAGGGTATATCAGTGAACAAAACAAAGATCTCTGTCCTTCTAGGAATTTACACTTTACTGGAACAAGACTTACAATAAACAACAAACATAATGAGTGTGTAAGTTACAAAGCATGCTAGAAATTTATAAGTTCTATGGGAAAAAGGTAAAATAGAGTAGAATGAGCATCAGGAGTGACGGGAGAGGAGGTGTCAGTGGTATTAAACAGGGTGGCATTAAATAGGGTGGACATATTTGAGTAAAGAATTGAAGGAAGCAAGGGACTTAGCTCCACAATCATCCCAGGAACATTCTAGGCAGAAGGAACAAGCATCACAAAGATCCCAGTGCCTGAAATTTGGGGATAAAAGACTACAAAGTGTAACTGCTCAGGTGATGGGTGCAGCAAAATTTCACAAATCACCACCAAAGAACTTACTCATGCAACCAAACACCACCTGTTCCCCAAAAACATATGGAAATAAAAATTTAAAAAAAAAAACAGGAAAGAAGCCAGTGTGAGTGGAAGTAGTAATAGACAGAAATGAGGTCAGAAAGGTAAAGAGGGAAGACCTGAGACTTCATTAACTATTTAAGAATTTGGCTTCTA